GTGGGCAGAGCCTCTGGGGAAGCCGGCCCGGCTGCGTCCGTCCTGCCGCACAGCCGCTCTGTCGCTCTGCTCCCTGAGCCGGTGGCATCATCCCTTGCACTAGCACGAAGAAACCACCAGGCTGATTTCTATGGGGCTGCAAACCTCGTGGTCCAGCTCCTCACCGGCAGGGATAGTCTGATGTTAAAAATAAGCACAGGGGTATGGGACTGAGGGGTCCCATGTGATGCTGAGCTCCTCTTTTACCATGGAGATGCTGTGGAGCCTCGATAGGACAGTTTTGCAAATGGAAACACAGTATAAAAAGACCCTGGATGGGGGTCTTAACACGGCAGTGCCTTGCAGGTGACGGGCCGAGCCGGGACGGTGGCAGAGGGAACAGCAAGGCCCGCTGACAGGGTGTACGTGCCAGCTCGCTTCAGCCAGCAAGGACGCTGGTGCGCCATCACGCCCGGCTGTCCCGCCGGAAAGCACAGGCGCGTGTTCGGCCCCCCGCGCAGCACCATGCAGGTGCTCCCGCCCCAGGGCGCTGGGCAGGCAGGGGAAGGCGCCGGCAACGACAACTGCTGCTTCACATCTCCGAGACAGGGTTAACCATCCTCGCAGGGCGCTCGAAATGCTGGAATTCGCCAGACGTTTTCTTTGGACATTGTCATGTTATATCTGGACAGAAACCCAGGAGCGCAATTGAACTGAGCACAGTACATCGGGCTGCTGTGCCAAGGAAACTTTGCCCGCTGTTAGGCCCACCGCCTGCTTTACAAACAGAAAGGCTGCTTGTCCTGATTTACAGCCATCCAGAAAAAGAGAAGGAAGGTGCCTTGCTCAGGGTCATGGAGAAAACTGGGGCAGGGCCAGGAGGGGGCTGGCGGTCTCCCAGGCTCCAACCTAATGACTTAACCTCCATGTGTCCCTTCCACGCGTCTCCGGCATGAGGCCTCGCTGGTTATGAGCAGCGAAGCAAAGAGCAAAACATACTGCATAAAATCCTGGCGCCTGGAGGCACCTAATGGACCTCACCCAAGGAGACTGTGCTATAGGCCAGATTCAAAATAGTCATAATAACGGATTATATACACAATGCATAAGCTGTGCCCAGGCGGTATTTAGCACCGCCAGGCTCTCCCCTGTCCTAGCTATGGTATACAAAAAGTCTCAGGCCACTTCCATGGAGATTCAGCTCCGGAGCAGTTCCTGGGAGCAGCCAGAAGATTTAAACACTTCTGGGATGTCACTATCCAGTTTCGAAATGATCTTGTAAATAGGTTTTTTCCAGGAGGGGTCGGAGTCCTTGCCTGCCCTGACGGCGCTGAAGAACTCCTGCAGCGTCAGGCTGGCCACCTCCAGGAAGCGCGCGGGGACCTGCGGAGAGACGGTGGCAGTGGGAGGCCGTGGGCAGGAGGCCACAGCAGCGGCTGCCCTACCGAGAGAGCGGACCCTCCGGCTCCTCCTCGCTGAGGCAGCTCCTGGGCTGCCCTGTGCCAGGCGCCCCCTCCCTGCCTTCCCTGTCCCGCTGCCACCCCAGCCTTCTCTCGCCAACATGCGAGGACACTTGCGACCAGCTGCACTCTGCATGCCTTGTCTTCACGCAGTTGCTTTCCCACGTGGCGGTTCCCAGCCACCGCGCACTTCGCTCCCACAGGCTCCCTCTCGGGCATCTGCCCAGGTTCTCCTGCACGGGGGGCCCGCTCTAAGGTCCTTTGAGCTCTTGTCCCTGACCGCATTTCTCAGTGGGAACATGAGATGCATCTCAATTACCCACTCCAGTTTCAGAGGACCAGAAGATCCTAGGTTGCCCCAGAGTGCCTGGGCACTTGCCAGATCCCTGCCCTCAGACGCTGCCTTCAGGAGAGCCTACAGGCTTTGCAGAGGGATTCAGCCTGCAGGAATGACCAGTCACCCCTGAAATGTGGTCACTGCAGAAAGGAACCCTCCCTCCAAACCCAGAAAATTAGAGACCGTCATCAGTAGAGTGTCACAGGACACTAGGAAATCCTCATATTGCTTTTGGGACACATCCCACCTGCTCATCCCACCTACATCCACTGCTCAGAGAGGTGCAGACCAAGGGCCTGACCCTTCCTGAAGCATGGAGTTTGCCTTGCAGGTACCATACAGTGGATCCAGGCAGCCCCCTTGTGTTCCTGGCTACTGTGAGGAACAAGCCACAGTTACCAGATATTATGCTCTTTTTGTGCCCTAAAATCATTAAAAGCAGCTCTGAAAGAGAAAGGAACTAGTTACAACCATGAAGCTGACACCAGTTGGACACCCCTTTCCTCTCTCATCTCTGTGGTTTTGGCCAGAAGTACTCGCCTTGGCTGCTCCTTCCCCAGATTAGGGTGCTGAAGGCTGCCCCGTTCCCCGCGAGTGACCTGGCTCACCTGGGATCTCCCCTGCAACTGCCCCTTCTCACCTCAAAGTCATTTCCCTTGTTATAGTGCATGTTGAGTGCGCGGAAGAGCTCCGAGTCCCGAGAGACCCTCAGGACCTTTGCGTCGGCAACACCCTCCAGCAGGGCTTGCCGGGCAAACTTCTCCACCTGGATGTAGTAGAACTCGCGGAAGTTGCTGAACCACTTGATAAGCTGGGAAGTGATGCAGCGGCTGAACTGCGACAGGGTGGAGACCAGGAGAACAAGCGTTACATGAGCCCCTGTTCCCACTGGGCTCTGGCATAAGAAACCGCAAAAAAAAAAAAAAACACTTTGCAAAGAAAATGAACATTGAAATCCCACCCCCCAAGGTAGGAAAGATCTCATCCCAGGTTCTCTTGCACCACATCCCTCCTCCAGGCTGCTGCACCTCCTGCTCAAATGAGGAATGACAGGCAGAAATTGAATATTCATCCCACAATGCAGAAGGAAAGACTGTACCTGTGGGTGGTTTTTTTTCTGCTGGAAGCCCGAAATGCAGCAGTGGACTGACAAGACTTTGACCTAAGCAAGGCAGGCCGCCAGGAGAGGGCTGCAGAATTGCCCACAAGCGGAGGGAGGTTGTCCCCAGATGCATGTGCCATAAACGAAGGCCAGGGATTTGAGCCTAGCAAATGCCCCTCTAGCCAAGCCCCAAGCCCAGCGCATGGGAACCTCTGTGCAGTGCGACTGGTGGGGCTAGCAAAAACGCGCAGGACGCTCCTCCTGTTGAACACGTTCAGTGTCCTTTGCACCCCTGTGTTTGCAGCCACACAGACACTTCAGCAAAGAGAGGAATTAACCACCCACACAGGGATGCAAAAGCACCACCCAGGGCACCGACAGTGGGGGGTCTGTGGTGCCTCTCCCAGCTGAGATACAGATCCACCTCCCTGCAGCAGGGAGGTATGAACACGGCAGCCTGCTTTAATCCCAACGCCTCGATAACACAGCAGTGAAGACTTGGCAGCCCAGCTTCGCCACAGGCCCCATAAGCCTGCTGGGGCCCTGAGCACCTCCCAGGGCAGCCCACGCTGCAATCTGAGCCTTCCCAGTCCCACCGGTGTGGGGCAGAGGGTGGGAGAGCCCCCTTGGCCCTGTGCGCTCCCCGGCCGCCTGGGCTGGTGCACCGCTGCGCGGGAGCCGCTCCCGCTCGGGAGCCCGGCTCGGCAGCAGCCCCGCACAAAGCAGTTTTACCTGCACGTCAAGGAAGTAGGTTTTCAGCAGCGTGGAACTGGGGTAGCGGGTGAAGAAAAACATCAACTTGGCCTTCTTCAGGTGGCCAGGGGTCAGCGCCTCCTGGATGTATCTCAGAGTCAAGGAAAAATCTCCTCGAGGCCTGTTAGGCTGGCAGAAGGCTGCGTGTCCCTGAGCGTTGGCCCTGGACACTTGCTTTTTACCTGTGATAACTGGTTTAACCACTGCCTCGTAACGAGCATGGAGCAGCGTCACCCCCAGCCCCAGCGGTAGGAAACGCTGCTCATTTCAGCATCCCGGGGAAGCTGCGGCCCATCGCCATACTTCCTGGGCTCACGGAAACAGGGATTTCTGCTCCCAGAGTAGGATGATGGGTCCACCGTGATGGCCCAAAAATAGGCCTGGGTGCTCCTGACTTCTATGACATGCTATTTTGTAGCATTTAACCACCCCGAAGAGTATCAATGCCCCTCCACAGTTCAGGACCCCTTTACTACCTGCCCCTTTCCAGCCCCCTGTAGAGCAGGGGTGCTTTGGCCTCGGGAAGGAGACCAGCAGAGCCTGTGCTGAGCTGTGGTCCTGGAGGGAGCTTCACCACCCCTCCGGGCTCCTGGGCACTCCACCACACTTGTTTGCCGTGGGTGAACAGAGGACGTCGGCCTCCACCGGCCCCGGGCTGCAGTCAGCCCTGTGGGGAGGTGAGCCGGGACCGGGGGAGCAGCACTGGCTGGGCACACTGTGGCTGGCAGAAATGTCAGGGGATCTGGCAGGCAAACCAGGCAAGCTGGCTGGCCAAGCCACATCCTGGTGAGCCGGTAGGAGGAACCAGGCAGTGAACTGAGCCCAAGGACCCCACACCCTGGCCCTTGAGAAGGACTCAGGTCTGAAACGCATGGACACTGCCAAGCAAGACCCTTCCCGACCCTGCATGAAAGAGGGTTGGATATCTGTCCTCTCCCAGGAGCCCCCACAGACATTTGTGCCAGCCATAGGTATCCCCCACTGTCCTCATTCAAGAGCAGCTGCCAGCATCTCCCAGCCCCCAAAGGATATATGGATGGAGGTGAAGGGCGCCCCGTCCATCGCAGGCTGCAGCTCCCCACAGCCTGCCCTGGCAGCCGGCAGCAGCGCCAGGCCTTCCACGTCGGCAGGGCTCAGGGGCAGGGGATACTGCTGCTGTCTCATGACCGACGACCTGAGTTTGACGGTTCCCCAGTGCAAGTCGAGGGGCTCCTGAGGACCCCGGTCCACAGCAGAGGGGCTCCCACGAGAGGTGCTGCCCCAGGGACTGTGCTGGCCATAACCCAGCAGCTGGCTGAGGAGCTGGTTGTCCTGAACAGGGGCCATCGTGCCCAGCGGATAACCAATGCTGGGTACCTGACAGGGTTTTCTCGCCCCTCTTGAACTGACAGGACAAGTGTGAAAGTCTGAGCTCTTCTCCAAAGCTCCTGACAGAGCCTCAGCCTGGGTTCCCCCCAGTGAATTCAGCACATCCTGGGTGAGAGGCTTAGGAAGCGGTTTTCTGCATTTCCCAGAAGCAAAATACTCTCTCCTGGCCCCTTCCCCTGGCACCGGGAGACTGCAGTGCCACTGCAGGAGGTGGCCAGCTGCCTTCAGCCACATGGTCTTCAGAACAGAGTCCACCGCCCGAGAGGTTGCCCCAGCAAGCTCGTGCTTCAGCATCTCCGAGAGCTCCCTGGCCTCCGAGGGCAGGCCGCCCGCATTGCCGGCATCTTCCTCCTCCTCTGATGCTTCGTGCCCTGCCATCTCTGGGACACTCCTCCAAAAAGGCACTGTGAGAGGGTCACTGGCTGCAGTGGCACTGTCCTTGCCTGATCTGCCTCCAGGCTTTCCACACAGTAGATGTGCTTTCTCCATCCCTTCCTGGGCGCGGACAGCATCTCCGGGGTCACAGACCTGGAAGAACTTCTCCTGGAGCTGCCTTAGCTGCTGCTCTAAAAAGCGGAGCTGCGCCTTCAGCTGCTGGCAGCCCTGTGCCTGGGGGCTGCCAGCACCAGGGGCTGCCCACTGGGCCGCCCCGTCGCTTTGCTGCTGCTGGGGCACCCTTGGCTTCCTCTTGTTCTCCCGTGGCGTCTCGCAGCCCTTCTGCGTGTCAGCTCTCTCCCTGCTGGTGTCACACGACAGGGGGTTCGGTGGGAGGCTCATGCCTTGGATGATGCTCTCCACCCTGGCCCGCTTGGCTCGTAGGTGCTCATTGGAGATCTGGTCTCTGTCACTGGCACAGGGCAGGGGAGCAGGGGCACAGGGCTGGGGCAGAGCCAGGGCTTGCACTCCTTCTGCAGGAGACACACCATCCCCATAGTCCTGGGGCAGGTCCGCCGCCTGGGAGGAAGGGAAAAGGAGGTGAGGATCCAGGCCCCTGCTAATCATTGTGTGGCTGAGGAGCTGTGATATCAGGGACACTCTGGAGGAAGGCAACAAAGAGTCTCTTTGGAAACAGGGCTCCTTTTTCAGCCCCTGGCCATGCCCTGAAGTGGCATGGTCTCCGTCCTGTTCAGAGGCAGTCCTGTCACCCATCATGTCCTCTTTATCTCTGGAAACTGGAGAGCTGACCCACAGCAAGGTCGGGATCATTCCATTGAGGGCCTGAGGGACTGGCAGGCTTCCTGGGCAGTTGATGTTTCTGCTGGCTAGAGGTGGGGAGCTGAAGAAAGAGCAAGAAATGACAGCCAGCAGAACTAGTACAGCAGCTCTCCACACACATGGCAGGAAATTTTCCTCCCAGATTCCCAGGGCATCTCTGCTCACCTGCAAAATCTATTTCACCAGGGAATGACACGCAGAAATCTCCAGTCACTGCAAAACATGCGAGCAGACTGTCAGATGTACAATCGTTGATGGTGCCTGGAGTTCATATTAAGTGGTATGGGCCCTGGAAGTGCTCAACAGCAAGGACTTCTCACATAGCCAGCTGCGCCCAGGGCAGTGGCGCTGCCTACAGCAATCTCAGCATCAGAAGCGGTCCTTCTGGAGGGGTTAGAGCTCCATCTTGCTGCACCTCAGCTAGACCTTCTCCATAAACACTACATTAGTATTAAAATACAATATGTCTCATCTGTCCCAGGAAACAGGAGCCTAGGGAGCGCACACAAGGCAAGTAAGTGCTAAGGGAGGTGAGCAGAAGGGAGATCACCTTCAGCTAGACCTCCCTGTGGGCTTATGGACTCCAGGACAGGGATGGTGAGCACCAGACAAAGCCTGCTTCCTCACACACCTGGGCAAAGTATTTTTAGGTGCTCCTGGGGGCTGGCAGGATGCCCAGCTGCCATGCACAGGGAGCTCCCTTGCTGAAAGTGAGCACCCAGAGGCTCAGAGCACAGCAGTCACTGTCTAAGAGCTGAAAGGGGAGATGTGGCTCCTGGCCCCTCTGCATCCAGGGCATCCCTCAGCTCCTGCACAGCAGCAAAGGGACCTGGTGTCTGCGAGCATGAGCCCTCCTCTCCTGGGGTTTGGCCACGCAGACCCTGCTGCACTGAGCACTCCTCCATGACATGTCTGCAGCAGATGGTCCCATGGGAAAGTGTGATGTGACCTGCCACTGGGACGTTCAGGCTAACACAGCATGGTGTGCTCCTCAGTGGTTGTTAAAATACAAAATAAAAGGCATGGGGCCGGGGGATTACCAAGGAGGAGAATAAACTACAGAGCCAGCAGCCAGGGCTTGGGAATTGTCAGGATGACTCCTGGCAGTGATCCACCCGCTCTGCTTTCTCGCTCTGGCAGCTTTGCAGGAGTAAAAACTCGTAAACTGGGCAATTATGGCATAACTATCCCCGTGGGATGTTTCTTCCTCAACCATATTAATTAGTGGTAGCTTTGCATCCTTGAAGAGGGTGGTTTATGTCTTTTCCAGACATCTTTAAGCCACCTCTAATATCTGAGACTCTTTTCTGATGTCTGATACTTTTCAACACTATTAGTCTCCTATCCCCATGATTATCTCCTTCACAATGAGTCCCACAGGCACGAACTACACAGTGCAGAAAATGTGCTTCCATTCATTGGTTTTCAGCAGGTTTTTTTTGGAACAGCCCCTTATTCCAGGCAGGTGTTCGTGAGTGTAGCCCTACCTTTTCTAAACTGTGTATCATTCTTTATCATCCCAGCACAGACCCTCAGATTTGTCTCCTCCAAAAGTTACATAGTCCTGTCATTTCAGTATCATATAGACCACTGTCTTTCCCCCCTTCTCTGTCATGCCTCTCTGAATCCCCGCTGCTTCTGCTCCATCCTTTGCAGAGACAGTGCAGAAAACTGTCCCCACCCTGGAGAAAGGGTACTGTTTATTTAAATCTCTTTTTTTAACACAGCCTCACACATTTCATATTCCTTTTAACCACTACTTCACTATGACCACCAGTTTTACTGAGCAGTCTGTCGCAGATACTTTGATCCCTTCTGCTGCCTCCCGCAAGATCTGCAGTAACAAGGGTGATCTTCCCCTGCGCGGCAATGCCCAGCTCCAAGGGTAATCATCCCTGGTAATGCCCAGCACCACCACTCCCTTGTTCGAGGGTGTTTAAGCCTTCCTGCCACGGAATTGCTGAACTGCTTCAGCTGAATTGCTTCAGCCAGCTCTAGTCTTGACGAACCAAGTATTTTTTGTGCTGACTGTCAACATTTGTTGCTCTCCTGCGTTGGCTCCCCTCCCGACCATTCAGATTTCAATTTCCTAACAGTCTCTTGTGAGGGACTTTTTACAAAGTGTATCAGCTATTTTGCTGACCCTCAGGAAGTGCAATGGCTTAGCAGGTTTTTCAAAAAGCCTGCCAGGTTTCCCATCCTACTCTGGTCAGCTAGCTGTTTCCTTGTCCCAGCTGTGCCACTCGGTTTACCTGCGGGCAGAGTGCAGCTGGGATGGCTGCAGGTCTCAGGATCACTCCCCTCGGCTGCACTCCGCTGCTCTAGTCCATCAGCTGCTTTCAATAAAGCCATACAGCAAAAGCAATGTATTTATATATTTCATCCATTCTTAAGCCTTTCCACATGGCTGGGGCACAAGACAGCTGATCCCAGGGCCTCACTTTTTGACGTAGCAGTCAGTGACAAACACCTTTTTTGGCAGTTTGCTCTTTCACAGTTCCTCATCTCGTCTGTGTTCAAGAGCAAAGGCAGGGAGCTTACCAGCTCCTTACCCTGAAGCTCTCTAGCCCCAGAAGCCAAGGCCATACGTTCTTCAAAAATACAAGAGATTGAGAGCGGGCAGTAAGCTCTAGACTTGGCTAAGGCTCCCAGCACCAGCTTTTTTCAGGTAACCTGAGCTGCTGCCTCCCCACAGAAATTTGGAGAGCGGGAGCAGAGCTGCTGGTCCCAGGCCATCCCAACCCCCTCGAGAGGCTCTGGAGGCCTCTCTGCTGCAGGTCGCCTCGGCTTCCCCCCACCACCTCCCCCAGCGCCCAGGGCATGGGAAGCCCCTGGCTGGAGGGCAGCAGGGGTGCGTAAGGCTTCAGGAGGGCAGTGAAGGCAAGGGCTTCCTGGCAGCACCCTGCCAGCGTTCATGGTAACGCCTGGCAGATCAGGAGCTAGACAGAGCCTGCCAGAGTGTGTTGCCCCCAGAGGTCCTGCCCCAGGCAAGCTGCTCCCACTGACAGAGCCCTTTCCCCACTGAGTCAGCAGTCGTGCGCTTTGATCTATACTCTCATTACCAACCTTCACCAGTGTTATCTTCCAAAATGCTAAAAAGAAGCCTAAGCTCCTCTTAACTGAAGGAACAGACCAAGGAACAAAATGAAGCTACTCAGAAAAGAAGTCAAGCACGTCCTCTCGGAAAGGGGATCCACCCTGTATGGGCTCCCCAGTTGCTTCTCAGCAGGAGTCATGCGCTGGTCAGCCTGCCTCCCCCCAAGCGCTGCAAATCCTCCCCTCTGAGAGCTGCTAGATCCCCTCCATTTTCAGCAAAAAGCTACCAGGACCCAAGTTGCCTCACATCTCTCTGCCCCAACAGGACACGGCACTCACCTGGGCTCTCCTGGGTGCGGCAGACACGGCGCCCCGCAGGCGCCGGGTCCTGGGCGCTGCAGGGTGTGCTGAGGGATGCAGGATGCCCCAGCGCCAGCCCGGCATCGCCTCCCTCTGCGCTCAGGTCCTTTAAAGAGGGAGTGGGGAGGCTGGAGGCAGCCAACCGGCTGGGAACGACTTCTGAATATGCAGATGGCAGTCCAGGAGGTCAGGTTCAGTGCAGAGGTCCAGACACCTTCCCCACTGCTCCCGCTCTGCCATCTCCCAGGTTTATAGACACCAGAGCAGCTCCTCAGATCGTGCAGATGAGCTCTGGTGTCAGAGCTGCTGGCGGAGGCCAGCAGGCAGGGGTGCCGGGTGCTGAGCTGGCCCTCGGACCTGGGCCACAGCAGGAGACTGCGGGCATGGGCCTGCAGAGCTGCACAGGATGGTGGGCACGTGTCTCTTTCCAGCCAGGCTTGCTCAGCCCCTCGGTTCCCCACATCTGCTGTAACACTTTCCCACTCCAAAGCAGGGCGGTGCTCACTGTCAGGCTGCGCTGCACTCCCCAGGGTGATGCCTTCCCTGCTCCTGCGGTTACCTTGCTCTGCAAGCACTCAGAGAGCTGGAGGCTCAGCCATGCTGGGCAACATGGAGACTGGTGAACATGGCCCTGGGGCCTAGAGAAGAGGCAAGTCCCTGGACGAGAGATCTGGCCAGCCGCACTCATGTTCCCCTGCAGTGCTGCCCTATGAGACCCAGTCTGGGAGGGATAGGAGGCACTGAGCACCATCTTGAGAGGGTTGAGAAGCTCGAATTTGGCCTGGAAACCCCACCCAGAACCCAGGATGGCAAACTAAAGGTGCCCAGGCATTTGTAACGTCCCCACACACAGAGACCTGGATGCATTTTGGCTGGCCAGTACCTGTGGTCTGTGATGTAGGCAACAGTTGGAAAATGGAACAATGTAGGAAAATTAGCAAAATTTAGTGTCTTATTTATTGCATAGTACTTTATAAACATTCTACAGCCATGAGAGCTGGCAGCTCTCTCAGCTGATAAGTTCAGGTCCTGACCTCAGCCCTGGGAATAATCTGTCTGCCCCAGGGGCATGTTTACATGTTACATGCTGGATACATGGGGTGGGTGGAATCTGCCTGGAGCGAGACAAAATCTAGCTGCTCATGCCGTTCCTAATTCTTTCTCTAATTCGCCTCCACATACTTAATAAACACAGTGATGTTTGTTTTATTCATTTGGTAGGCAGGAGGCTGTGGTTAAAAGTAGTTGACATCTGGTGGTCTTGTTCAAGGATATTAGCCCTCAAAAGACAGATCACAGAGAAATTCCTGGCAGAGAGCCTTTCTGGCTCAGTTGCCTTTTTTTCAAGCAGTCAGCACATCTTCAAAGCCTCAGAGATTACCTCCTATTGATTTTTC